GAGGGGCCAAAGTTCTATGACCTTCCCAATGCACAGGCAAAGAGCCTTTCTGCACACATGATGAAGCCCCTTTGGGAACCTTGCCTGAATGAGCAGCTCCCCTTACCGTCTTGGAGTCAAACAGCCTATTCCTGTTCACTCTCCTCCGCAGGGGAACAATGGACCTTCAGGGGACGGACACACACAGTAGGCTTGTCCCTCCTAACCCACGCAAGAGGGATCCGTGCCCGCAGATGAGCACGACCATCACACCAGTGTGTGTGCCCCACGGCACAGCCACAGGACAGGGGAAGCGTGTTCTGGCAAGGGCCAGCCACCAGCACACAGCAACACTGCTGCACCATCTAGATTTAAAAGGGTTTCACTTCTGACAGTGCTCAGATGCATAAAGGCCAGCAGCAAACCCATAAGCACCCATTGGGAGGCCTAGGGCTACTCCCGTTCTCTAAGGAACACCATCATGTGGACCGTGTTCCAGAGTGACTTCTGGAACTTTCCTCTCCACCAGCGCTCTCCTATCCAGCAGCCCTCATCCTTGCACCATCTGACCAAGAAGACCTCTGCTCACTCCTCATTCTGGTCCCAAAGGTCTTGCCCACCTCCACCAGTTCCCACAAACCTGGAGCAACCCAGCCTCTGCCACATCTTTTCACTAAAGCTCTGGCCTATGAGGCACTTCCATCAGTCCTGTCTCCAAGTCTGAAACACGGGAAAAGTGCCCCCCTCCCGGGGTTGCTCTGAGCGTTCCCAGAGTTGGTCCATGGGAGGTGGGGAGAATGGCACCTGCCCCACGGTGAGAGTTCAGGGAGCTAGTGGGGCTGGGGGCTGACTGCTGCTGTCTGGGCTCCCCCTGCTCCCAATGCTCATCCTCGAGAGTAGAACATGGAGCACCCCCGCGCGACCCCCAACCTCAGGCTTGGCGGCCCCGGGCTCCAGGGAACAAGTTCCTTCCACAGCTTTCCCCTTCTGCACTGGCTCCGAGGGCAGCCAGTGTCCTCATGGTTGAGGGCCAATCATCTCTGTCCTCCATCAAACTTAGTGGACAAGACTATGAGCCCCCCCAGGGCCTGAAGGGGGGCCCTCCCCACCTCCATGTGCTCCTGGAGCAGTGGAGGGCCTCCTTGCTGCATCACTAGCTGATAGCAGGAGCTCAACAAGTATCTTATGAATGAAAGAAAAAGAAAGAAGAACCACAGACTTTCCTTTTCCAAACCCAACCAGGCCCAAAAGAAGCCCCAGGACAGCCTCAGCACCCACATTCTGTCCACGCCCCGGGGGACAATCTGAATAGTAACTCTTCTGACCCAAAGCCATCAACCACCTACTCTTCAGCCTATCCCCCTTCTTCCCTCCCCTGTTCTGGCAATCGGCTAGCATGTTAATAGTGGGGAGCATCAGCTGCCGCTCCCTTGACATCCTACAGCCCAGCTGTCCATCCACCCACATTCCACCCATCACATGGAGGCTGGGGTACTCTGCCCAGGCCAGGCCATGCCTTCTTCACCATGTTCAGTAACAGCTTGTTTGCCCTGGGCCCCAGCTACGGGAGCATGACTGGGCCTATGAGCTAGGCAGTGAGCTCCCACATGGGGTCTCATGTCTGCCATCCCCCCAGCCACAAGCCCACCCCTACCTCCCGTGCCCTGGGCTCTCCGCTCAGTCCCATCTCAACTGTCATCTCTCCTTGTGCCCCAGGGAAGAGCTGCACTGTCACTCCTGTGCCCCCTGCCACCACCATAACTACCCCACCCAGACCCCAAATTAGGAGACAGGAAAGGAGGTGTGAGTCAGCAAGAGGAGACTGCACAAGGTTGGACCCCTGACCAGGGCCACTTCACCCACTCAATTTCTTCCTAAACCCTGTGGCCTCGAACATGGCAAGGTCAGGAGTCAGACCCATTCAGGACTGGGGCAGCTGGGGCCCAGAAAGGTGGGCAGTGGCTCTCAGTCCCTAGAGGCACTAGAAGAAGTTAGCTGCCAAGCACCCAAGGGTTCAGAGAATCCAAGTCCAGAGGGATGCTTGATGGCTGTGGTTTGGGCCAAGCATCCGGAGGTGGAGAAGCACTCCAGCAGCAGCACCCTCATACTCAGAACCAGCGATCAGGCGTGGAGTCCCTGGGGGGCACCCTGAGGGCTGAGCTTTGAAGTCCCATTCAGGGCCCTGCCCACACCTCAGATGGCAGATAAGGCCAGCAACCGCAGAGAGCCCTAGCAAGGGCCACACCAGCAACCTGACTCCCAGCCCCAAAGTCCCAGAAGTCTGCACCAGCAGAAGGACCAGTCAGAAGGGCTGAGGTTCAGTCCCTAGGTGCTCCCGGAACTGGAAGTCTGGGTCACGCAGGGATGAGCAAGACCCTCCCAGCTCGCAAGGCCAAGCCTTAGCCCCGGTGGAAACGGGTGTGCCGCGGGGCCCATGAGGATTGAGGGCCTGCGCCAGGGGCCTGGACGTGTGGAAGAGAAAGTCCCGCTTGGGCCAGGCTCCAGGTGAAGGCCCAGCAGGTGCAGGGTGCAGTGGACCCCGCAGACCCGACAGAGAGAGTCGGGGGCGTGGGTGTGTCGAGTCAGAGTGGCCTTCGCCTAGGTGGGCAGGATCTAAATCCCCGCCCCCGACTCTGGCCGACCCTAGGAGAGAACAGGAAGGGCACTTGCGGAAGGACTGGGCCACCCTGGCCTCCCTGCTCCGCCCCATCTGCCAGCAGCCACCCACCCCTGCGGGTCTGCGCCGCTCCGCCCGCCGCACCCCAGCCCTCCCCGAAGCCGGCGGGGCCCACGACTCGCCGGGCAGCCGGGAGGGGAAGGGAGGGGGCCGCAGGAGGCGCCGCCAGTTCCGCGGGTCCAGGCCCAGCGCCACCAGCTGCCGCTTCCGGGAGCGCCGGCCCCGCCGAAGGTGCTGCGCCGCCACCTGAGCCCCGCCGGCCCGGCCCTCCCCCGAGGGGACCCCGCGCCCACCTCGGAAGGGCAGCGGCGCCCCCAGGCGCACGCGCACGGCCCCCGCCAGCGGCTCTCCGGGGCTGTAGACGACGCGGCCGTGGCTCAGGAAGACCTCGAAGAGCTGCACCCGCCCCATGCCGCCGCCCTGGCCGGGCGGCCGCGCTCTAACACCCCCTCCCGCCGCCGCCGCGCTCCGAGCCCCGCCCTCCCGGGCCCGCCCCCGGCCCGCCCCGTCGACCCGCCCACTCCCCGGGCCCGCCCCCGAGCCTCCCGGGCCCGCCCCGTCGGCCCGCCCACTCCCCCTACGCCCCGTCTCCGGGGTCCGCTTCTCCTCCCCCCTCGCCCCCCGCCCCCGGGCTCCGTCCCGCCTCCACCCTGCCCCCAGCCCCACCAGAGCCCGCCCCCCGGCCCTCCTCCCTCCCCTCCCTCCTCGCTGCCCCTGGCCCACCCGTGGGGTGCTGGTCAGCGCGGCGCGCGGGACCCCGGCACACGGGCGCCCCCTGCTGCCCCGGGCCGCGCGGCCGGCTCACCTGTCGAGGGGCGGGCTGAGCCGGCGCCCCCTCCCCAGACTCCGCCTGGCCGGCGGAAGGACGTCACCGGGAGGGCCCTGCCGCGCCGCGCGGCCGCACCTCTGCGGGAGCCGGCCTCCTGCCGTGGGCCCCGCTCGCGCTTGGGGGAGGCGGCGGCGTCCCTGCGGAGCGAGTCTCGGCGGAGGCCGCGGACCGGAGGCCCCCCCCCCGCCCCGGAGGCGTGGGTGCCGGGCGGTCCGCGCCCCGAGGACGCGGTGGGAGAGGAGAGGTCCCTGCGGACCGGGAGCTGGGGTGCGGGGCGGCTGGGGGACCCGAGACGGAGCGCAGCGAGGGGTGCTGGAAGCGGCCGGAGGAGGGCGTCGGCGTGGCCGTGTTTGTGTCCAGAGCACCTGCGTGTATGGGGGGGCATTTCCGACGGGGAAGACTGGCTTGGGTCGAAGCTGGGGGATGGGACAGAGTTCTGACCGGCAGAATCTGAGACGCCCACCGAGGACGTGTGCGCATGAGTGTTAGGAAGACAAAGGACCGCAGACTTGCGGGCCCTGGTTGACCACGGTCACTCTGCTCAGGGCGGGATGACATCGAGAGTTCGGGGTGGAAACGCAGAAACCTGGCCTAGCGCTCCAGCGGAAGGACAGGGGCTTTCAGGCTGGAAGGACTCGCCTGAGATTCTGATGTTGGGCGTGTGGGGGGCGGGCCAATCGGCCACACTTAAGACATTTCCCTATCAACACCAGGCAAGTGGAGAAATTCCCAAACTAAGAGTCAGGGTCCCCTGGGAATGGGGAGGATTGTGGGCAACCCATGAATGCCCCATGTCCACAGCAGAGGTCAAGAAGGGAGTGTTTGGGGAAGGAGTAAGAAATCGTGTTGGCTGCTGCTGAGGTGAAGTAAGCGACAGAAAAAGGTGCCCCACCCAGCTCTACATCACCCACCCATTCCCTGTTCTGGAAGCCACTCTGTGACCTTGCTTACACCATCAGCACAAAGGCCCTACTTCCCTACGTGCTCCCTTTCCTCTTGCTCCTGGAGCCTCTCAAATGTAGATGTTTATCTTTCTTTTTTAAGATTTTATTTATTTATTTGACAGAGAGAGAGTCAGCGAGTGAGGGAATACAAGCGGGGAGCGGGGTGGAGGGGGAGAGGCAGAAGCAGAGTCCTCACTGAGCAGGGAGCCCTATGCGGGGCTGGATCCCAGGGTCCTGGGATCATGACCTGAGCTGCAGACAGATGCTTAATGGCTGTAGCAGCCAGGCCCCCTAGATTTTTATTTTCACACACACACACCCCTGTATCAGGGCCTGGAGCATGTGCCCTCCTTACTCAGAACAACTTCCAAGCTCCCAGCCTTAACTCATCTTCTCAGAATGGTGACCCACCTGCTCCCCTCCTACTGTCATCTTCAAAGCCCAGATCAGTCCCCATTATTTTTTGGTGATTTCAGCTCCTGACTCACTGTCCTTCTGTCCAATACCAGTGTTGCAGGAATTCTTAATGACTCCAGGATCCACATAGGTGATCCTTCCAGCGCCCCCCACTGCCACCCTCTCTTAAAGAGCACCTGGGATTTGTTTTCATCAGGTATGATAAGGTGACAGGCGCAGACACAACTTCCTTGAGAGAACAGTCGGTACTTAATGATTCCCCAGAGGAGGGGTACATGGGGAAGGACCAGGGTTGGTCAGGCGGCAGAATTTTTTTTTTTTTTTTAAGATTTTGTTTGTTTATTTGACCGAGAGAAAGATCACAAGTAGGCAGAGAGGCAGGCAGAGAAAGAGGGGGAAGCAGGCTCCCCGCTGAGCAGAGAGCCCGATTCGGGGCTCCATCCCAGGACCACGAGATCATGATCTGAGCCGAAGGCAGAGGCTTAACCCACTGAGCCACCCAGGCTCCCCATGGAGAGCATGGCCCAAGCCTTTATCATGTCTTCTGTGAGAAGAAATAGGTGAGGCAGGGTAGGCAAGTTGGAGCAAGCTTAGGGTCAGGTTGTTCCAGTGGTCTCTAGTTGTCCAGTATCTGGCCCTACAGTGATTCAGGATGGGCAATATCGGTGTGTGAGTTTGGTAAAGGAGTGTTTGGAGGGTATGGCCTCTGGATTAGTTGGTCTGCATGTGAAAGTTGTGGTCTCAGGCAAGTTGCTATCTTTAGGAATGAGCTTAACTCTGGGAGGGGCAGCCTCTCCCCAGCCAGCAAGGCCCCCAAATATCAAAGTATCGTAAGATACAGAAAATAAGAACATGACCAGTTAAGCTCTTGTTCCCATGCTCCTCTCCTCCAAGAACCTTCCCCAGGTGATGTAAGCATATGTGTCCTATGGCTTCCTTAGTTTGTCTGCAAAGACGTCTGGCAACAACTTCTCCCATCCCTTTTGCATTAGCACTGCTCCTTCCGTCAGAAGGAAGGGTCCTTCCCCTCCTATTGACTCCAGGCCGGCCCCTTGACTTGCTTTACCCAGCAGAACTGCGGTGGGTAAGATGCCGCATACGCGGTAGGCTCTTGAGGAGGCCTTGCAGCTCATTCTCATTCTCTTGGGGTCCCGACCTCCCATTTCAAAACACCTAGTTACCCTCCTGGACAGATCAGAGAGAGAGAGAGAAGGCCTGCACAGGGGAGTGAAACCATCTCAGACTGGCTGCCTCAGCCCCACACCCGGAATGACTGCGCCTGTAGGAGTGACCCAAATTGCCCTGATTTATTATTTGTTCTGAAAATCAGGCTGCATTCAGCCAAGCGGCTTCTCTACTCAATGTGAGATGTGTGGGGTGTGCTGAGGATAGAGTGTCCAAGATCTCTCTCTCATTTGCATGTCTGATGCCTTGACTGAGGCCTCTCCGCATGGCCAGTTTGGGGTCCTGCACACCAAGATGGTCTCCAGATAGTGAGACTGATGACCTGGCAGTAAGTCCCCTGGAGGGAGGAAGGTGAAGCTCCCCGTCCGCAGGCCTGGACTCCAGAGTCCCAGAACTTCCCACCACACTGAGCGCATTAAAACAGTCACAGAACCATCGTGGGGGGAGCACCACACACGGGGAGAGAACTGATTGTGACAATCTGAGACAATCTGCCACCTGCAGAAGAACCAACAGCTGAACCCAAGTTAAATTAGAGTCATGAGAAAATAAAGCTGTTGTTCTAAACCACTGCATTTTGGGGTGGTTTACTATGCAGCAATAGATAACTGGGACCAAAACTGGTACTTAGAAGTGAGGGGCGCCTGGGTGGCTCAGTGGGTTAAAGCCTCTGCCTTCGGCTCAGGTCATGATCTCAGGGTCCTGGGATCGAGCCCCATATTGGGCTCTCTGCTCAGCGGGGAGCCTGCTTCCTCCTCTCTCTCTGCCTGCCACTCTGCCTACTTGTGAGCTCTGTCAAAAAAATAAAATCTTAAAAAAAAAAAAAAAAAAGGCCTCTGCCTTCGGTTCAGGTCATGATCCCAGGGTCCCGGGATCGAGCCCCGCATCGGGCTCTCTGCTCAGTGGGGACCCTGCTTCCCCCCTCTCTCTGTCTGCCTCTCTGCCTCCTTGTGATCTCTGTCAAATAAATAAATAAAATCTTAAAAAAAAAAAAAAAGTGAGATGCTGCCATAATAAAATTCTAAAACCTCGCACTGACTTTGGAGCAGACAGCAGGTGGGTACTGGCAGTGAAAACCCTGATGACGGCTGGATGAGGGATGCCATCCAGAATTGGAGGGTGTCCAGAAAATGGTGAGACCATGGCCTGGGGTAACACGGAAGATAGAAAATGTGTCTAAGATCTGATTTTCCTGGCAGAAAACATAAAGGCCAATTGGCTTTGTTCAGTTATGCTAACGTGAAATAAAAGAGAAAGATGAATTAAGGAGGTTGCTGTTCCACGTCCTATCAGAAGTCAGAGGACATATTTCCAAGCCAGGTCTTGCTGAGTTGGAAAATCAAAACTCTTTCTCATTTCCAACCTTTCCAGGCAGCAAAAAGTTCTGAAGGTAAGAAATGATGTCGTGGTGAAGAGTAAACCCGGAGCGCTGCCAGCAAACGTGAGCGTGAAAGTCAAGGGTATGGTTGTATGATCCCTTCTGAAGACTTCTGAGGCTCTTGGGTGGGGGAGAGAGTCCTTGTAGAACCCCTCAGCCATACAAAAGGGCTTCTGAGAATCTTGAGGTCATTGTCCCACAGCACCTGACTCCCGGGCCACAGGAGAGAAAAGCCTTCTCAAAGACATTTGCAGTATAGCTTTTGTCCAGTGAAACAAGGTACAGTTTGTCATAGAGAAAATCCATTTTTTAAAATATTTTATTTATTTGACAGAGATCACAAGCAGGCAGAGAGAGAGAGGAGGAGGAAGCAGGTTCCCCGCTGAGCAGAGAGCCCGATGTGGAGCTTGATCCCAGGACCCTGAGATCACGACCAGAGCGGAAGGCAGAGGCTTTAACCCACTGAGCCACCCAGGTGCCCCGAAAATCCATTTTTGCTTAAAGGGTTGTATCTGCTCGAGGTAAAATGCAAAATGGACAGATTTTGAAATAAAAAAGTTGCTGGGCCCCTGCTTTTTACCGACAGGAAGCAGGCTGACGAAGGTACTCAGCTGAAAACACAGGCCACTTCCTATGGAAAAGAGGGCCATTGAGAGTACAAGGCCCAGTGCCCGGAGGAATCAAGAACGCAAGAAACAGTAGCCAAGGAGCGCCTGGGTGGCTCAGTGGGTTAAGTCTCTGCCTTTGGCTCAGGTCATGGTCTCAGGGTCCTGGGATCAAGCCTTGAATCGGGCTGTCTGCTCAGCGGGGAGCCTGCTTCCTCCTCTCTCTCTGCCTACTTGTGATCTCTGTCTGTCAAATAAATAAAATCTAAAAAAAAAAAAGGAAAGAAAGAAACAGTAGCCAAGGGAGCCACTTGCAGGGAGCAGACCAGCCCTGGTCAAGGAGGGTTGTGACAGGTGTTAGCTGGATTCCAGAACTGCCGTGGGCCAGTGACTAAGGGTATAACCCTCCTTGTTGGACAGGGTGTCTGTTCACTCGCACTGTGCTTTGCCACTGAATGTTGGCTGTTGGGGGCAGATAATATGCCCTTGGGGGAAAAGGGGCCACACCCAATGTGCCTTATCCATCTGGCCCTGTTGCACATTACAGCATGCGAGTCTTGATGAGAGGGTGTTTGTGGGATCACCTGGGAGATGCATTTTTCAAGGAGGAGGAGCATGAGTTGTTAGCCGCCAGCGGATGGACTGGGGGCAGGCTGCTCCACTAGCAGCCCCCCAAGTGAACAGCCTTCCTACACTGATTTTTGACTTGCTCCGGTGACTAGCTTTGGCCAGTGGGATGCCAGCAAGAATGATTCAAGCCGAGGCCCCATAAATGCTTGCGCATGGCTTCCATGCTAGAAGGAAGTCCAGCTATTCTGCCTGGCCACGTGGGGGGACTCTGCATAATGAGACATCACACAAAGGCAAGTCACATGCAAGACAAAGAGGCACTCCAGTGAATCCCCAGCCGAGTGCCACCAAAGGAGGGACCCTGAAGACCCCAATCACAGAATTGCAAAAAATAATAAATCAATATTGTCTTAAGCCATAAGGTTTTGGAGTGGTTCTTTTGCACAAAAGCATACAGTCATCACCAACAGCCACTGCCCTCATGATCTCAAGTCCACACGTCTCTGGCTACCGCCTCCTGTCCTGCTAGCCCACTCTCTCTAGTGTCATGACTCCTGCAATCCTTGGGACTCTGCTGGGAGCCCCAACCCATTGGCCCTGCCCCCTCTGTTGTTCTCTCTCCTTTCCTCATTCAGCTCTAAGGCCACAGGCAGCCATCTGGGCCACTCTCTGTGCGAAACTGCTCCCCTTCCTTCTCAGCACAGCCACAGTTTTAGCTAAGCCAGCCCCCCTCTTTCTCCTTGCCCTCCTCGCAGCAGCAACACAGGCTGGACGGATAGTCACACTGACAGACACCCGAGAGATTGCTGGGCCGTCCTGCCGCCTTTTTCTACTTCTCTCCTAGACAGTTACATCGCTTCTAGACCTCTCCTTGCTCTGCCAGCATCTGCTCTCCTGCCCTCACTTTCAATTGATGTCTTTGTTTTCTACTTATATGAGAAAGTAGAAAGTTCCCATCACCAGAGAACTCCCCCCAAATCCTGCCTGCACACCCCCTTGCCTTCCAGAGACTTTTCATCAGACTCTCTCCTTTGTACTGAGCTGAAACACCCATGCTCCTACCTCCCTACCTAGTCCTCCTTTGCCAGCAACTCTCCTCTATAGGATCACTCCTGTTAAAACCAACAATCTCTCCACTTCCCTTCTCTTTCCAGTTTCGGCCCCATTTCTCTGCTCTTGTTTTTAGCAAAAACACCTCAGAAGAGTTGTCTGTCTCACAGCCTTCAATCTTCTCCTATCCTTCCCTTCTAAGCTCTCAGACGGACTTAGTCCGCCATCACTCCATCAAGAGCTGTACTGGTCGAGGCTATCAGTGTCCTCATTTTGCTCAGTTATCAATTCCCGACCCCAACGTCACAGGACCTGTCAGCAGCACCTGATGTGGCTAATCTTTCTTTCACAGTCTTTACTTGGCTCCCAAGCTACTACCCTCTCTTGGTTTTCCTCTTACTTGACATCTCCCTCTCTTTACTGGCTCCTTCTCTTTTCAACCTCTTTTCCCCTTTTGTAAAGGAGTACCCAGAACCCGGCTCAGTCTTTGACCCCTCCTTTGCTATCTCCATTTTCTTTTTTTTTAAGATTTTATTTATTTATTTGCAAGACAGAGAGAGAGAGAGCAGGAGCAAGGGAGAGGGGCAGAGGGAGAAGCAGGCTCCCCCGTGAGTGGGGAGCCCGACACAGGGGTGGATCCCAGGACCCTGGGATCATGACCTGTACTGAAGGCAGATGCTTAACCGACTGAGCCACCCATGGCGCCCCTCCACATTTTCTTCCAATGTAATCTCATCCAGTTGCATGGCTTCAAACACAACAAATGTGGAGCGCAGTGGGTTAAATCCTCTGCCTTCAGCTCAGGTCATGATCTCATGGTCCCAGGATAGAGCCCCATATCAGGCTCCCTGCTCAGCGGGGAGCCTGCTTCCTCCTCTCTCTGTCTGCCTCTCTGCCTGCTTGTGATCTTTCCGTCAAATAAATAAATAAAATCTTTAAAAAATGAATAAATAAATACAACAAATGTGCTATGGAATGCCGAGTTTGCACCCCAGGCTGTACAGCCCCCCTGAACTCTATACTCATATACTCAATTCCTTTGCAATCTTAACATGAAGCATGAACCAGAAACTCATCTTTATTTTGCTGAGAGTCTGGGGTTGTTCCTGAAGCATAAACCCGGCTACAGGGCACTGGCCACTTGTGTCCAGACACCCATGATCTCTCGGGCAGCGACTTGTGCTCACTTGCTAAGTAGCCTTCCTGCTTCCATTCCCCCTGCACTCCGGTGCCACCCGCCAGCCAGCTCCATTCAGGGAATAGCTACTCTTCTACTTAAGTCCTCCGACGGCCTCATGTCTCTAGGTGTAAAAGTCGAAGTCCCCATAAAAGCCTGCTGGCCCTGCTCCGGCCCCTCCTATCCCTGATCTGGGCCCGTTTCTGTCCTGCGGTCCCGTCCAGTGACCATGGACGTCCGACGTCCTCACACGTGCCCTCTCCGGCCCACGCCGCTCACGCCTGGTCAGCCGGGCATCCCCCGCCCACCGCCCTCCCACGGACCCCAGCCCCAGCCCCCGACCTGCCTGCGTGCCTCGCAGCACTCCCCGCGGGCCTTCCCGCGCCCCTAACCGAAACGCGACCGGGGCTTTCGCGTCGCGCCCCGGCGCAGCGTGACAGCCCCCGAGGGCGGCTGCCGGCAAACGCTGTGAGAGCGCTCGGAGGCCTCACGCCCCGGGGCGCCTGCTCGGGAAGGAGCCGGACCCGCCGCCCCAACCTCCGGCACATCCCCGCCGCCCGGTCAGCAGCGGTAGAGCCGAGGGAGGCCGCGGCGGCCTGAAGGTGCGCCGCGTGGGCAACCGCGCGCCGCCGTGGTCCTCCGCTGGGCGCCGGCGCGGAGGAGGCGCTCGGCCCGGGCGGGAAGACGCGCGGGCGCGGGCCCAGGTCCCGGAGGCGCTCTGCCCCCACCCCCGGCCCCCGCGCGGCGTCCTGCGGAGGCGGGGCCGTTTGCCTGGCGCCGCAGCGAGCCCCGCAGAAACCCCAGCCCACAGGGCCCCCCGTCGGCCCCTCCGCGAGGGAGGTCGCGCGCGCGGGCCGGGTCGCAGGGTCGGGTGTGGGGATGCGAGGCCGGGGGCCGCGGGGTCGGGAGCCCGGTGCGGGGTCCGGCGCTGGGTCGGAGCCTGGAGCGGGCAGCGAGGAGCAGGAGCCTGAGCGCGGCTTCCAGCACAAAGCTTCCCGCGAAACTGACGTAGCGTGGGGCGGCCGCGCAGGCGCCGCCCCTGGCCGCGCCCCTCCCCCCCGCACTCCCTCCGCTCCTCAATGCGCCGGCGCACTCTCCCTCCTCCCATTGGCCCCGGCGCGGCGGCGCGCGCCGACCGGCGCAGTGCGCGCCCCGCGATTGGCGGGTCGGCGGCGGGCGGGGGTGTGTCCGCGCCCCGCCCCGCCTCCAGCTCCGCTCGCGGTGGTGC